CCTCCTGCCTCATCGAGTCGCGCTGCAGCAGGGTCGTTGGCACCTTCCATAGCGCCGAGAGCCTACTCAACTCGTCAGCTGAGGAGTTCTTCTTACCGGCGAGATGATAGGTCACGGGGACTAGACCGTAACGACGATGCCAGCTCTCGCGAAGATCAGCCATCGCATCAATCAGCCGTGAGATCGCCACTCTCTCTATCGACTCACATGTAAGCTTACTCCCACCAGTGACCCACGAAATGGCTGTATGGGAGTCGGACCAGAACCGCACCGTCAAAGGCGAAACATACGCAACAACGGAGTTGAGGAATAGATAGGCCCCAGCTAAGGCGAATGCTTCCTTACGGTTTTGGTGCCAGTTATATTGTGCATTCTTCCACATTTTCGCTCTGCGATACAGAACAGTATCTTGGGAAGCATGACCAGAGGATTGGGAATCTTCACGTCGTTGCTCATCACGTCGACTAAACAGCGCCACGATTCCCAAACCGGTAGGACTGGCGTCCGCGTAGATGTCGACATACTCGGCATGGAAGCATACAGCATGATCGCAGACCGCAGGCTTATCACTCAGAACCTTCATCGCAATGTTGAGAGCGGTCGCTTCATCTTTAGCCAACACTACGGACTCATCCCAAGACGATGTCTTCCAACGCCCAGATACTCGACGGACTAGGTCGCCTGCTAGCGACTGTTCACCATGGACAGAGAGCACATCGAAAGCAGCACCGGCGATCTTAAAAGCACAGCGTTTTGACAGTTTCGAGCCGGCCACCAAGGTCTGGACTTCCGGCAGAGGTATATGTGCGCAGCGCAGACGCAACTCGCAGGAGTTGGTAGTGGTGGGTTGTCCAGCAAATCGGACTCCGAGGTGAGTGAAGTCGTCAAAAGGGTTGCAATGACCTTCAGCGTCGAAGTGGATAGAGTGCATCTTTGCAGCAGAGAACTCGAATCCCCAGGCCGCACCGACACGTATCAACTCGTTTTTGAAGGCGGTGACTGCCTGACGGTCCCCTAGCAATGTCAAATCATCAACATAAACATAGTGATATAGCGGCAACGACCCGACCACCTCGCTCGAGAGGTTCTGTCGAGCAGCTTGAACAAGGCGATGTAGTACTTCTTCGAGGACTGCAGGGCCACATCGCAGGCCAAAGATGAGGCGTCGAGCCGTGTAGACTCGACCCAAGCAGCGAATGCGGGCGCACTTACGATGGAGTCGAATACGATAAAAAGCCGTCATACAGTCCATCGTCTCAAGAGACAGCAGCGGAAGCAGCGGATGAGTTCGCGCCTTGGCAGCGATCTGCGCGAGGGCAACTCTTATCTGCGAGAGGATGACGGGACATGAGGCACCAACATAAGAACTATTCGGAGACTGCCGGTTGCATTGACGCACGTCCACGCAAGGGCGGACCTTCGCCTCCCCTTGCGGCACGGGGAATGCGATGGCCACCGGCAACTGCTCCTCCTCCTCTCTAGTAGTCGACAGTTCAGCATCAGAAGGACTTATCTCCGACCACCAACCACGTACCGTGAACTTAGCGATCTCTTGCCGAAAGGTGCGCTTCTGCTCTTCGCTCAGGCGATTGTAAAGGGGAATAGAGAAGTCTGCTGGTGATCTCAGCAATTTACTCCCCGGTGGCGCAGTAGTAACCTGCCAGCGGACTTCAGCAACATGTGTTTGGTCAGGGCAATCCTTCTCCTCATCGCCGCCTATTGGCCTCAATCGTACCGCGTACTGCGGCGCACCTCTAACGGCACACCAGGAGTCATCAAAGGGACGGTGCTTACCCACAGGCTCGGGGGGTTGGCCGCAGTCCGGCTCCACCGCCATAGATGGGAATAGGTCGGACGTTTCTGCCACATGACAGAGAGAGGAATCATCTCGATGAAAACGCACAGTGAGGACCTCGTCGATGACATTGACTGTCCCGTAATCAGCAACGATGCTTTGAGATGCCGATGGACGAGGATGATCAACAGTCGAACGTTGATGAGTGATCGGTCTGCTAATAACGACTCGGCGCTTCCCTCCTTCTTCCGAGAACCGCAGGCTTATGCCAAGCGTGCACATAGACCGAGTACCCAAGATGCAACGATCGTCCAAAGCATCATCAGCAGCAACAGAGTTAGCGCGGGGTGGAAGAATGTGGAAGTCCAGTGGGACTTCCATGCCATCATACACAACGATAACACGCACAGATCCACGCACTCTGAGTGTAGATCCATCGGCGAGACGCGCGAGAGCCTCAGATGGGAAGCACTTCCATCCGCGAGCCTCAACGACGGCCTGAGAGATATAATTGCGCACCGCACCCGAATCCAAGAGAGCTTGCAAGGGACGCTGCCCCCCAGCAATCTCGAATAGCATAGTAGGACCGGCATACTGCTGTCGATCCCCACCGGCAGAAGGCATAAGGTCCGGCATCGCCCACAACATTTGCACCTGCTCCTCCTCAGCGGCCCTCTCGCCTATTTCTTTTTCTTCGGATGGGCCCTCCTGAACCGTCTTCAAAGCTGTTGCTTTCTTGCCGTTAGCATTATCCGATCTCTTCTTGTTGTGTGCATGAACACAGCGATCACCAAAGCGACAGTTGCCGTTCAGCCATTGACGACACTCCTCCCGCGGTCCAGATACATGAGAGAACTTGCATCGATCTCCGTAGCTGCAGGCCCCTCGAAGATGCTGTCGGCAGATACCCGGAGAGGTGGGAGGCCTCTGTCCTCCTTGAGCAACTGGAAGACGCTGTTGACCTCCCTTATCACGAGCTGCAGATTTGGCTTGATCCGGACGTCCTGAACTCCCAGGTTCACCGCTCTTCTTCTGCTCGCTGTCAACTCGCGCTGCCCGCGTCATCGCTTTGATGCGAAACTCGCGCCACGAGCTAGGATACTCATAAGAAGCATCCCTGCATGACGAGTCGTTAATACCGATGCGGTAAGCTTTAATGATATGTCCATCAGAAAGAGCAACACCAGCGCTTTTGCAGCGCCTGGCCCATCTATCGATCTTAGCAATGAAGCTCGTAAGCGACTCGCTTGGTGAACGGACCACAGTCTCGGATAGCAACTTTTCAGACTCCAAAGTACCACCACTATCCTCTAACAAAGTTTGATGTATGCGATCAACGGCTTGCGCATAACCCAAGAGCGTCAATGGTGCCTCCTCGTCCAAGACATCTCTAGCCTCATCCTCAGGTACAAGACTAGTGAGGAGAAAGTACTGTTCCGGCCCACCAAGACGCCAACCACGGCGAACAACAAAGCTCTCCAGCTGCCGCCAAAACCCAGAAAGGCCACGAGGATCATCAATACCAGAGTAGGGTCCACCCTTGAATGCTTTAGCTGCCTTATCGGCATCTTTGTGAGCCAGTCTCCTCCGGCTCTCATCCACGGTAACCGTCTCCGTGGATCCGGCGCTTGGAACCACAGATTCAGTTCCGACTCGTTGCACAGTTGTTTTGACCGCAGATGAGTGGACACTTGGATGCGAAGAAATGACAGGCGCTGCCGAGACCCTATCTACTTGAATTGGCGACAGACGAGCATGAGCGAGTCCCTCAGATGTCCCCGTGCGTCTCGAAGGCGGCGAGGAGCTCGGCGTAACTTGAAGGAACCAGTCTCGCCATCCGGGAGAAAACACGCTTGAGCGTACGCTCTGCAGCTCTCGAAGAGCAGCGAGATTACGGCGACGATGGTCTGGAAGAAGGTGTTGGGACGAGATGCGATCAACAAGCGGCTGCGCATGCAATGCTCGAGTAACGACCATATCAGAAAGGTTCCTCGAGAGATGCTCGATGTCATCCTGCTGCAAGACTCCTTCGGCGGCACTGGTACAGGCATGCTCAATGCGCCGAGCAACGTATTCCACGAAGCGATCACCAACCACCCCCGTGATGTTGTCCTTCTCCTCGTCGCTTAGCGTGCCCAACTGCCTCTCCACTAGCGCTAATGAAAGCGCGTCAGCACATGTTTGCAGGTCGGGCAAGATGTTCGTGGTGAGGGCTCCCTCAATAACAGCCAGGATTATGTTAGCAGCGTCGTCAGAAGCGGTAGAATCGTCGAAGAGAGGATGGGGAGATCCAGCAGTGAAAGTGATTGCATCAACCAGGTGGGGCAGTGTCCCCGCATCGGAGCCAGATGTTGGAATTTGTGCTTTCCCGACTGCAGAACTCGATGCCATGATGGTCTCAATGAAGTAGAAAAACTCTGACTCTCACCATTTATCCTATTTGCAGCTATTTGCCGCTACGAAATCAACTACCTGTCATGATGTACGCATAAACAAGTGAAAGAAAAGCCACGCGTCACGGATTATGTGCGCGTGCGGACTATGGAGCATCCTCAATCTCTCACAATAGTGATGTGTTCTATTGAGTGTTGCGCGGTTCTTCCACTATTATCACACTAGAACGGCTCCACTAAGATCGCCACAGCCACTCTCCCACGTTGGATAGGTTTGTGTCCACTAGCCGCCAGAACCAACTATCGACACAACTCATAATAACTATCATTCACATCATGTTACAGGTTGAGAAACATTACATCGCGCACCACCCTCTTCCTGAGGAGGGGGCCCTGAATTCAACAACCTCCAGTCGATGCATCTCCCTATCGATCGGCTGAAGCCTCTTAAAGAACATCACATCGATTTGGCCAAAGACGCTGCCACCATAGCAACTTCCGTTTCCTCCGCTCGAGGCACTAGGCCCATATCAGGAAAATATGCACATGGTCAACCATCTGACAATATAAAAATTCTGAGGAGCTTCGGGAATTAATTATTATACACTTCTATCCAAGTTTCTATAGCTAGTAGGGCAACTCGTGAGCTCAGCTGAGGAAAGCCAGCATATATATATACTCCAACATTCGCAGATTTTCTGTCGATCATCGCAAAAATGCGACTTCGTAAACAGCAAAACGACACTATCCGAACCGGAAAGCACATGCGGACCTCCCCTCTGCGGTTGAAATTCTGAAAGGCTCCAAGCCCCTGCACTCAAGCTCGATGGAGTGAACCTCCCATTAGGTGGCCGACTAACATACCCACGATGCTAGTCACTGTATACTCATGCATTGTGACATCTGTCCCTCTTGAAGGAAACTAATCACAAAAATAATCATAATGATTATGCATCTCTCGATGACGCCGCATAGTCGTGAGCGATAATACTGTTGTTTACGTATAATAGTGGAGATGGCGAGATTTAGGTAAGTACCCATACCTCAATTGGAGTACTTCTATCACCATCATTGTAGATGAAGTCTTTAACACGGTTCACTCATATCGACTAATGAAAATATATTAATATTCATTTCACTCATATCGACTAATGAAAATATATTAATATTCATTTCACTCATATCGACTAATGAAAATATATTAATATTCATTTCACTCATATCGACTAATGAAAATATATTAATATTCATTTCACTCATATCGACTAATGAAAATATATTAATATTCATTTCACTCATATCGACTAATGAAAATATATTAATATTCATAATATATAAATGCTAATCCATTTATCTCTATGAATATGAACGATTATATGTGATATTATATATTGGTAAATATTGCATAATCATATTGCATATTAATATACAAGGGAGGGTTATAGAGACTTCATTATAAGTACCATTGAGTTGTCAGGAGGAACCTCATTATTCACCCAGTCTAAAATTAGCGATAAATTTCCCTCTACAGCATTTCCGTATCGTAAAACGAGAACATCACGAACTCACCAATAAGATTCTTATCCATCATATCGACGAGCAACAACAATTTATTCATATCCTTTGATACCAGGGGAAGCTGCTCAGTCGTGCTGCTGCTGCCCTTCCACTCCCCATACACCCACATAAACCATGTGTGCTTTCCTTAACTCAGGAGTTTCCTCGTTACATTGTGGGAATTTACACGAGACGTAGGGGAGAATAGTATAAAACACAGAAAGGATCTCCATATTGTCACCAACACATGTAGTTGCTCATATACTAGTGAGAAAACTCCTGAGTTCAGCTAGAAAAGCAAACAAATATTCCTCCAACATCACTTAGACCAAGAAAGACCGCCGGTTCGATTCCCAGGCCCGCCACTTTGCACCTACATCTAGCCAATTCTCTGTAGAATGTGGTTTGCTCTCCTCATCTGCTGAGCTCAGGAGATTCCTCATAGGAATTCATATGCAAATTCGGATGTGTTCGGAAAAAAACCAATGATCATTTCATCATCAACACGAAGTTGACCATATACACACAAAAATATCGAAAGGATTGACTGAAACGGTCGCGGGTTCGATTCCCGGCACGCGGTTCTTTTAGCATTTTCCGCTTTCTGGAACAATACACAAGATCCTTCCAACGTACACACAGTGAAGTTTCACCCGCGATATGAGAAACACTAGTGAAAAATATATTCCACATTTCACGAAAAAGGTAAACCGGAGTGATTCGCTTGTAATTCACTTCATATCGTGGGACTCCGATAGTAGGAGGACAATTTGAAGGAACGAACACACAGTTAATACGACAGTATATGGTCTACAACTACATTCAAGTTTAATTCATCACTAACCACCGTTATTATCATTATTACCATCGTCATCACATCTTCTTCGACCTTGCGGGAATTACCATCGCAATAATCGGTTCATGAGACTATCATATTGTAATCAATTGTAACAAGTCGATATTCGGATTAATTGCGATTCGAAATCAATAAGAAACCTTGTTTTGAGAATCACGACGCCCAGTGTTGGGGGAATATAGGTTAACTTTCCTCACCTGAGTTAACACACTAATCACTCAAGAGCTTACATACGAATTCGAGTAGTAGAAATGCACTGAAACTGGCGACAATAAGAGTTTCCTCAATAAAATGCTGAAGGGTAACATCGCGATATATTATGATGCAGGCGCGCGCTAATTGCAACCGCGGAGCGAAGTGAATCGTGTTTGCCATTTTGTGAGAAATGGTGGGTATGTGCTGGACCGGGCCTGGGTGCGTGAATATGAGTTTGCGTTCATGAAGATGAGTTTGCGTGCAAGGCTCCATCCAGCGGCTTCACCCCGTGTTATCAAGAGTCTGATCGATCGAGTATAACTGTGCTATAGTTCTATCATTATCTGAGTTATCTCAGTTCTTCTTCGTTTATTTATCTTCGTTCGGTTCGGTTAGAAGATCGGTTCTATCGACCTTCGGCTTAACTGTCTTGACTTACCTCCGTCTTATATTTGTGGTATCGATCGACAGTAACTAAATACCCTACAACTGGCTAGGGCCACTACCGTATCACTAAGTTAGCTGGTATACTACAAGAGCTGGAGTCGAGTTGGCTTATCTAGTTATAGCAGTGAGATATCGATTTTGGTACAATCATCCGAGAAGAAGTGACTACTAACGTCATGGATGCCAATGATCCGTTGTTAATGAGAAGCACCGAGGCGGGGAACCGCCCGGTGGAAGAATCTGGTTCGCCGCCGGCGTGGGCTTGGGAACTCCGTGGGCAAATCGAGCACTTGGCGGGCATGTTCAACGAGTTGAGCTCGAAGTTAAACTCCTCACCTTCGATAGGGCGGTCAACGACCGACGTTCAAGGTGAGGATACGGTCGACACCGCTGTCAGCGACAATCCCAGTGTCGAGGAGCACCGAACCTCCTTACTAGACTTCGTCGGGGTGCAAGGGGTACCGACGAGGGGAGGTCAATGTCGTCGAGGGGTTGACATAACGAAGGTGTCCAAGAGGGCACGGAATACCAGAGCTGTCACTGGAGGGCCCTTCATCGGGGTTGCCGATGCCAGAGGCTTCATCTGCTTCAAGAGGCAGGTGAAGAGTTTGCCTGAGATCCAACTGAGTGGTCGGTATGGACCT